TGTTAAAATTGACTTGTGGCCAGGCATGATGGCTCATCCCAGCACTTGGGGAGGCCGAGGCGGTCAAATCACCTGAGATTGGGAGTTAGAGATCAGCCTGGCCAACATGGTGAAACACTGTCTCTACTAAAAATACAAAAATTAGCTAAATGTGATGGTGTGTACCTGTAACCCGACCTACTCAGGAGGCTGAGGCAAGAGAATCATTTGAATGTGGGAGTCGGAGGTTGCAGTGAGCTGACGCCCCGCTACTGCACTCCAGCCTAGGTGACAGAGCAAAAAAAAAAGACTTGCTATAATTGTATACTTACTTTTTTTTGTTATTGGCTTTATATTTAGGCATACCCTATTTCTTAGGTGAAGTTTATTTAGGAAAAGTATATTTTTACATTGCAAAACTCAGTACAGTAGTCTAAGAAACTGGTATATGGGAAAACTCACAAATTATATTCCAAGTATAATTTATCGAATATTAGAATCATATTTAGACATTTTGAAGTTTGTAAAGATAATGTGCATCTCTGATATTGCTGGTAATAAGCAAGACATTGCAATATTAGAAGGCTTTGAGCTGTTGTCTTCCACGACGTGTTTTTCCTGAACATTTTTCTAATTGCCTTTCATATTTAGCTCTTATTTTTGCTTAGATTTGTAGAATGCAGAAAGAAGTTGAGGAAGTGTTAAATTGTGGAGAAAGAAAAAAAGCCAGTGAGAAAGTAACTGCATATGAAGTCATGTAGTAAGCATTTTACATCCCTTAGCCATGGTAATTTACTACTATAAATGGGCATTTTTTGGTGTGTTGAATTTTAAAAGAAAGATGATTGGGGATTATGGTTGATGTGTAATATATAATAATTTTTCCCTACTTCAAATAATGGGAAATGAATTTCCGGTTATGGTTTCTGCATAGAATATCTGATTTTCAGTATCAGATTCCTAACTGCAAGTGTTGTTAGGTACATTCAAATTTAGAATTGTTATGTCTTCCTGGTGAATTGATCTTTAATTGTTTTGAAGTATCATTATATATCTATCCATGCTATCCATGTGTATGTATCTAGTGTCTACCTCCTGCATTAAAGTTTGCTATGATAGGCACACAACTTTCTTTTGGTTTGTGTTTTACATGGTGTGTCTTTCACTAGGCTTTTACTTTTTTTCTGTATGCCCATATGTAAGATGTGTCCTCTGTAATCATCACCTAATTGGGGTTTGTTTTTTAAATCCACGTCTATTATCTTCTTTAAAAATTGGAGGTTTAGTTTAATCATATTTAATTAATTGCTTACATATTTGGATTAAATCTGTCATCTGTCATCTCCCTGTTTGCTTTCTATTTGTCTTTCTTGCCTTCTTTTGGGTTATTTATTAATCTATTTTTTTCCTTCTCTTTTAGCTATTTGTGCTTTTACTGTTCTTGCCATGGTTACCTACGAGATTACCACATGCATCTTTGACTGAGGTCTAAAGTAAATGAGAATTTTTTTTTCCATTTCTTAATCAATGAAATGATTTTAGGATACTTATATTTCATTTTGCTATCCTCCCCTATTATGTACTATTGTTGTTGTATGCTATAACATTTGAAATCCCACAAAGTATTATTTTTTTAGTCAGTATTCCTTTGGAGTTAACTCTGCTCAACGCTGTTCATTGCACTTCAATTTTTTGTGCATATCCAAACTGTATTTGGGGTTCTTTTTTCTTTCTACTTGAAAAAATCTCTTCAATATTTCCTGGTAACAAATTCTATTTGTTTGCCTTAAAGTTGCCCCTCTATTTTGCCTTCATTTCAGAAGGATTTTATTTTTTTTATCAGATACAAAATTTTAATTTGGCGTTTCCCCAACAGCACTTTGAAGATACCATTTTTGTCTTCTGTCTTCTGGCTTTTACTGTTTGGGAAAACTCAGCTAGCTGTAACTCTTACTGTTGATTCTTGAAGTTAATCTTTAATTTTTCTGGCTGCCTTTAAGATCTCTCTATGGCGGTAGGGGACCTCCTTCTCCCACTGTCTCTCTTGCCCCCATTCCTCTTCTCCCTCCCCTCTTTCTTTCCTTCTCCCCCCTCTCCCCTTTGATATACCTAAGTTATGGTTTTCTTTGTGTTTATTTTGCTTAAGGATTGATACAGCTTATTGAATCTGTGGCTTGATGTCTCATTCGTCAGTTTTAAAAGTTCTTAGCTAGATGTCTTCAGATATTTTTTTCTTGCCTATATGTTTTCTCCTCGCCTCTGAGACTACAGTTACATGTATTTTGTATCCTTTTTCCATATGCTATAATTTCTCGCTCTTTTCTATATTTCTCATTCTCTTTTTGTGCTTCAGTCTAGGTATTTTCTTCTTTCCTATGTTCTGGGTTGATTCTTTATTCAGCTGTGTCTAAAGTATTATTAAAACTACCCATCACTTCTTTTTCAAAATTTTATTTTTTATTTTCATGTTTTCCATTTTTTGTTTACTAAAATTATTAATTTTACTTTTTAATTCCTTGAACATTTATTTTAAATGTTTTTCTGAAAGCACCATTTTCTGGATCTACTGTAATCTGTTTCTATTACCATTTTAAAATATTGATTTCAGTCGGATTTTGACTGGTTATATTTTGATTTCTAGACATTTATATGAAAATGAAAAAATAATGTGAGTTTCTAGACGACATTATGTTTCTGCTGAGAATTACTTTTGCTACTGGTATGCAGCTAGGCTAATAAGAGTATTAGCCCAGATTGCCTTAATCTAATTAGGGATTGAGATAATTTAAAGCTATGCCTCTCTGTATGGGCTAGTCTCTTTGTAGTTTACCTTTATGCCTAGGGTATAGTTCTTTGCAGTCTATTCATATGCCTGATGTGTTTACTAGGGCTATTCCTCCTTGGCAGGCCCTAAATCTAAGTTTTGTATGTCCACCCACAGATCTCTTGAAAGCTCTGTTAACTTTCTTAGTTTCTTGGGCAGTAGTTTTGGAATATTGAGGCAGTAGTTTTGGAATCTTCAGGCAGAGGAATCCAAAGACTGGTCTCACCTATTTCTTCTAGTTCTCAGCCCTGCAGAATCTCTAGTTTTGAAAGTTCTCTAGTGATTTAAAACAGTTTATCTTGTGTTTTTCTTTTCTAGTTCTCAAAAGAAGGTTGGTTTGAAGCAAACTACTACACCATTGCCAAAAGCAAAAATACTCAAATATGTTCTAGAATTCTGAATTTTTCAGGTGATATAAGATAGTACAGTGTATCCATCTTACAGGCATTAAAATATCTTGCAGTACTGCCTCTGCAGTAAAATGTATTAATATTTCTCCAGCCTACTACAGTACAAGTTTTTATATTGGGAATCGGATACAATGTGATCTGTTAAAAGAACTATTCTACAACACAACTGCCTGTTTGATCGGGTCCTGCCACTGACTAGTCATTTTCAGTTCCTCTGATGTTTCCTGTTCCCTTTTGTCATAGGGCTTTTGCACATGCTGTTCTCCTGCCTAGTATGTATACCCTCATACTCGGGTTTGAGTATGAGGCACATCCTCAGGGAAGCCTTTCCTGACCCATAAATTTAATTCGGATAAATGAATTCCAAACTTTCTAGTTTGGAATTATGCAAATTCATTTGTATGATGGTTTGATTGATGTCTTTTTCTTCTACTAAACTCCAAACTCTGCGAGATTAGGAATCATATCCTTTTTTTTAATGACCACTTTATCCTCTATGCATAGTTTAGTGTTGGGAAGTACATTTATTAGAAGTAGGTGAACAATTAATAGGTTATCAGTTGTTAACAGATGATCAACTAATGTTTGTATGAATGAAGAAATAAAATAATGAAGGAAGATAAATAAGAAATGTGCTTATATTAGTGCTGGAAATGATAAGAAATGAAAGGCTCATTGCTTTTGAGTACAAGCCAGATTTAATCACATACTGGAGTTACACAGTATGATTGAAGTTTTATAGATACACATGTACAATACTAAAAATACTTGCATAAAATTCCCATGGGAATTTATTATTATGACTGTTGTATTATAGCATTTGTTTCCCCATCTCCTCATAGTTATTTATTATGTAAGTCTGAAAGCACTAGGTTTTCAAAATGACAACAGCCATTGTTCAGAACATGACAAACCGTATCATTACCAGTCATCCTACTTCACAGATACATGGAATCAAAAACCCTTGAAAGATTTTTTTAAGTTTTGAAGGATTCGCAGTCTCAGGAAAGCAGACTTGGAATTTATACACACACACAAAGGTTCCGTGGTTTCTGGAAGGTAACATGCAAACCGAATCTTGACTGATAAGGAGGCGTTCATTAAATGGCCAAAGGAATATCATTCATTTAAATGCATTTTATTATGAAAGTATATAGTGGCTTTGTGAATTGACAAATAGTAACTTGGCTGGAGACTAGGGCAATTTGCAAGAAGAATTTGAAAATACATATTGGGGCTATCCAGATTAGTTTATTGTTTGGTATGGTCATCAGAAGTTTTTAAGGATATTCTGTGTTGTTAAGAAGAGAAATGCTAGAACTAGACTCCCTGAGTTTATAACCCCAAGCTCTGCCCCTTACTATGTGACCATGGGCATACTGCTTAATTTTTCTGTGTCTCAATGTCTGTTTATAAAATGGTGGTAATAGTTATAGATTGCAGTTAGGCTTGAATGAGTTAAGACACGTCCATACTTAGGAAAATGCCTATTACATAGACGAATCTCAGTAAGGCTTGGCTCTTGTTGCTGTTATTATATACATTGAGAAAACCTCCAACATTATTATTGCATTAGTTTAACCAGAACTAGAGACACAAAGAGATTCAAGAGGTATTTTCGGTGTAAAGTTAACAGGACTACAGCTTATTTCCTAATTTTGTATAATCAGAAATTTCAACTAGTAGTGCTGTGTGTGCAGCATAAAGGCAAATTTGAAATTTGTATAACACTTTTATGATTTGTAAATTTACAGATTTTAAATCTTCTAATTTGTGTTTTCTTTTAGATCTTGTAGAAAATTTCAGCTGTAGCCCTTGGACTAGAAGCTGAAATAATAGAAGCTGTGTACGATGCATTAGGGTATTGAAGAAAATTAACTTTTGAATTAAATATTTGGAATATAAGGAAATAAGGAAAGGTGACTGAAAATGGGGCGGAAGAAAATACAAATCACACGCATAATGGATGAAAGGAACCGACAGGTAAATGAAAATTTTAATTTATTTAATTGATAAAAATATTCTTTTAAAAAAGGTCATAGGATAGAATGGTTGGGTTTTTCTTAAACTTTATTTTAAGTCTAAATACTTTTAGTTCCAGACTAAATGAAAAATTCTAACAATCATAAAATTGTGTCTTTTTATCATGTGCTTTAAAGAGACTTTCTTATTATAGATATATGTCACAGAAAACATAAATGCTCAAAATCACCACAGTCCCACCGTTACCATCCATTGTATAGATTTTTCATAAAATATTTAGTCTATATCTCTAATTATATGTTTAATTGTTAGCCTTTTATGTATTGATTATTTTTAAGTTATCACATGTGTTTTCATAATTAGATAGTAGCTAAGTTAGCTATAATTATCAGTGAATATGTTCTAGTCAATTAAATTTTCTGGTTAACCAATATATAATGAGAATATTTTTTATACTTCTTACTATTGCAAATATTTCTAAATTTATATATGTACTTCAGTTGTAATGGATAAAATATATTGAAGTTATTTTATGGTACCAGTGTGAGTAAATCGTTACAGATTCAAGGTAATAATAATATGCTAGTATATGAAGAGGCCAGAATTTTTAAGTATCTAATGTTGGCTTAGCAAACTTTGGCCCATGGGCTGGCCATCTGTTATTGTAAATAAAGTTTTATTAGTGCACTGTCATGCTCATTCATTTACATATTGTCTGTGGCTGCTTTCGCATTATAACAGCAAAATGAGTAGTTGCCCCAGAAACTATGTGGCCCATAAGCTTAAAATCTTTACTGTCTGGCACTTCCAGAAAAAGTTTACCAACTCCTTAGTTCAAAATAAAGAAGGAAGAATAATTTCATAGAATATTATAAAGGAACTACTGGGAAGATGCTGTCTCTGGAAAAGTTGCGTATCAGGAGAAGTTTCAAGAACAGGTGGTTTCAGAAAGTTTACCAGGAACAGAACAAAACTGAAACAGTGTTCTGCAAAATTTGAGTAGTAGTTCACTCAAATGTAGATATAATTGGTGGTAAAACTCAGCTGAGCAGCCTGTAAGGGAGTTCGGTGGGAGTGATAAGAGTTGCCCACAGACTGACTCTTAAAGAGGAGGCCCTGGTTTCAACTCATGAAGATTGTTTAACAAAGATGTAAGGCCCACATCATTGCTTTCTAGCTCAGTTCCTTGCAGACTCTTCTCAATTCTTTCCCTATAGGAATTTTCCTCCCCATCCCTCCCCCTACCTCCTAAATAAAGGAATCAACAAAAAATAAATAAATAAAAATAAAAATACATATGATTCATTATGAAGGTTGGTAAAATAGGGAAGATCGATAAAATATCCATGCTGTTATCCCAAAGGAATGATTCCAAGCAAGGCTGCAAATTATCTTCCTTTCACAATCTGAGGATTAAGAAGTGAGAATAGGCCGGGTGCAGTGGCTCATGCCTGTATTCCCAGCACTTTGGGAGGCCAAGGCGGGCCGATCACAAGGTCAGAAGTTCAGGACCAGCCTGGCTTGAACCTGGGAGGTGGAGGTTGCAGTGAGCTGAGATGGTGCCACTACACTCCAGCCTGGATGACAGAGTGAGACTCTGTCTCAAAAAAACAAACAAAAAAGAAGTGAGAGGAGGGATAGGGACTTGCTTCATGAATGTTTGCAGTATAAATATAAAATAGGGTTTGTTGGGGAATAACAGACAAGCAGAAAACTGGAGGGCACATAAAATTCTTGAGCCCTCATTATTCCACAGGTAGTCATGTTTAAATTGGACATAGCTAAACTGGACCTACCTATGGACGGGATTTACATTTTTAGCAGGAAAGAGTAGCTAGGCATGTGTAGGTGACTGTGTAATAGAACTTTTTGAGTTGAGGAAGTGACTTTGTTAAAAAGATGGATACTAAGCAACTAGAACGAGCCTGTTCTTAGGTTGGACTTACCTGCTGTGTGAGCTTCTTGGCTACCTACAGAATGGGGCAAGGACTGTCTGAATTTCTGTCTCAGATAATTTCAGTAAAGATTGGAGAAAAGACAGAAGAAATAGTTGGGCAGTTTATTTTAAATTAGACACAGAAACAATTTGTCACAAACTAAAAGAGTGTCTTCGTTTTATTAATTTTAGAATTTGCGGATTCTGAGTTAAAAGTTTCATTTTTCTTCATAAAAGGGAGAAAAATTGCATCTTTGCAGAATAAAAGAGATGTCATTTATTGGTCCAGATTCAAATATGTACTATATCCCAAGAGGCTGTGTTAGGTCCTGGAAACTCATAAAAATATATGGCCTACGTAGGAGATCTAAATATGTGGCAAATAGAAATAATCTCAGATACTGGGAGAGTTTATACAAGAAACTGCCAAGTTCTGATGGAGTGGTTTAGGTACTATTTATTGGAGGAGGTAATAGCAAGTAAGAGTTTTGAATTACAAGTATGAACTGGCAAGATGAAAACCATACTTCATCATTGGAACAGTACACAAATAATCTTGGGGGGGCCATAACAGTACCATGCACTCAAAGAGCTGCTTCACTTTACTTCCACTTAGAAGCCTATGGCAAAACCTTGTGTTTGTCCTTCCTTATCTAAAACACTTCTTTTTTATTTTCTTTTTAAAGTAAACTGTATTAAAGTATAAGATTAAGAAAATTCAGAAATCCTGAGTGTGGTTCAGTGAAGTTTTGCACAAAGAGCATAACCATGTAGCCAGCATATCCCACAGCACCACCCCAGAGGTACTCTTTATCCTGTGTCTCAGTTATTTCTCCCCTGCCCCAAGGAAAGTCATTAACCTGGCTTCTAACACTATAGATAAATTATAACTGTTGTTGAATTTATATGAACAGTGTGTATTCTTTTACACGATATTATGTTTGTGAAATTTATCAGTGTTACTGTTGGATGTAGAGATATGTAAATATATCTTGTACGTTTTCATTGATGTATAATCTGTTGTGTCAATAGAATACAATTTATGTCTTTTTATTGCAAATGGACATGTGGGTTGTTTTCTACTTTAGTATTATTATGAAGAGTGTAATTTTGAGTATTCTCAATCGTATACAGGAACACTTGGGTAAATAGAAGTGCAATTGCTGATAAGTAGTTGACAAGTTTTCTAAAGTTGCACTAGTTTAAGTTGTACGTACTAGTTTACACTCTGCTGGCAGTGTGTAAGAGTTCTAGCTGCTCCAGTCTTCAGCAGTTCTGGGTATTGGCCTTTTCATTTTAGTCATTCTGGTAGGTGACCAATAGTAATTTAATTTAATTGTAAGTTTCCCATGATGTCTAATGAAGGTACTCATTTTTTCATATTTTTATTGGCCATTTAGATATATATCTTCTTTTGTTACTAGTCTATTCATTTTATTTTCTTCTAATGGGCTGCCTTCCTTTTTCTTATTAATTGACATGCATTCTTTATAATCAGATGAGTGTTTTACCTATGACATGCATTATGAATACTAGCTCTAAAACTATGGCTTACCTTTTCACTTTATTTAAAAAAAATTTTTTTTAGAGACAGGGTCTTGCTCTGGTGCCCAGGCTGGAGTGCAGTGGTGTGATCATGGCTCACAGTAACCTCAAACTTTTGGGTTCCAGTTATTCTCTTGTCTACACCTCTTGTGTAGGTTGGACTACAGGCACGTACTACCAGGTTCGACCTATTCTTTTATTTTTTGTAGAGATAGGTTTTGCCTAGACTGGTCAGGATCTCTCGGCTTCGAGTGATCCTCTTGCCTTGGCTTCCCAAAGCACTGGGATTACAGGCATGAGCCACCACACCAGGCCTATACTTTGTTAATGTTTTTAAAAATCAGTAATACTTTAATGGTTTCCCATTTTCCTTTTTTCCCCCTTTCCTTTATGGCTAATGCTTTTTTGTGTCATGTGTAAGAAATCTTTACTACCATAAGGCCATGAAGATACTCTTCTATGCTTTCTTCTGTAAGTCTTTGTTTCGTTTTGTTTTAACCTTTCATGTTTTAGACCTGTTATCCATTTCGAGTTTATTTTTGTGTTTGGTTTGAGGTGTAGGGGTCACGATTTGTTATTTTCCAGATGGTATTTAGTTGTCGCAGTATAATTTATTACAAAAACCATTCTTTGCTCACTATGTGATAAGGTTGCCTTTGTCATGAGTCAAGTAACCATATATGTATGAGACTCTGAATTATCTATTTTGTTCCATTTGATTATTTGTATATCCAGTGTAATTCTACACTGTTTTAATTACTGTAATTTGATATCGGATAGTGTAGTTCTGCACTTTTTTTTTTGGCAGAACTGGCTGACTATTCTTGACTTTTTTCAGAATATCCAAATGAAACCAAGTGTCAGTGTTCACTCAAGAAAACAACCTACTGGAATTTAGATTTTTTTCCCCACTGGATGGATGGATCTCTTTATGGAAAATTGAAATCTTTATAGTATCAAGTCTTGTAATCTATAAACGTGTAGATTTCATTTGGTTTTCATTAATTCTCTCTATAATGGTTGATGGTTTTCAAAATAAGTCTTCTACATTTTTTGTTATATTAGTAGGTATTTTATTTTCTAAAGCATTATTACAGTTCTTCTCAAATTTTATTTTCTGCATATTTTCTGCTGAGTATATAAAAGTATACTTGAGAATTGCTAGATAACATGGTAACTCTAAGTTTAACATTTTGTGAAATGCCAGACTGCCAAAGTGGCGGCATCATTTTGCATTCTGCCAGCCATGTGTCAGGGTTCTAGTTTTTTCACATCCCAGCCAACACTTGTTATCGTCTGTCTTTTTTATTATAGTACTCCTGATGGGTATAAACTGGTTATCTTGTGGTTTTAGTTCGCATTTCTTTGATAGTTAATGATGTTGAGCATCTTTTCATGTGCTTATTGGACATTTGTATATCTTCCTTGGAAAAATGTCTGTTCAGATCCTCTGCATAATTTTTAATTGTTTTTTAGTTGTATCCTTATTTTGAAAGCTGTTTTTACTGGTTGTAGAATT